CTCAAAAAAAAAAAAAAAAAAAAAAAAAAAAGAGACTGGCAGAGAGTTCCCTGAGTGGAGGGTGGCTCTACATAGAGAATTAGGTGCTATCATTGTCCCTGTCTGGCCACCAATTTGTCATGCCCTCATTATCTCCTCTGGATGGATCAGGGTCAAACGGACTCAACTGAAGGTCATTTTCTTTCCCTTTCTCTTTGTTCCTCTTTGGGTCTGAGTTTGAAAGTGAGAAAACCACAGGGCTGCAGGGGACCAGGTGAAAGCATAAAGTTTGGTTTGTTTTGGAACATAGGAAACTCTGTGTGTGTGTGCATGTGTGTGTGTGTGTATTTGTGTGTGTGTGTGCATGTGTATGTGTGTATGCATACCTATTCCCAGGTCTCTCCAAGCCAAGCTAAATTCTCAGAGCACTATGTCCCTTTTTTGGGTTATATCCACTTTATTTTTGCCCTTGGACAGTGAGAAAGTATTGCCTGAGAAGTGCCAAAGATGAAACCGTGCCTTCCTGTTCTCTCCAAAGTGAGGGCTTCCTTGGAACTGGAGGTGTTTGTTTTAGGAAGAGGGATCCAGGAAGTTTGGAGAACAATGGCTGTGCCTGATGGAGACAAATGACTGCAGGCCAGACTTGGCTGGGAAGGAGGCTCCAGATGGGGCTGGGTCACCTTCTAAGCCCAAGACCTACCTTGGTGAATATCCTTAGATAGCAGATCCTCATCCTCGGGAGAACAGAGGGACTCAGGCAGATCCCGGGTCTGAGTTTATTAGCAGTAGGGTCTGGTCAAGTTTCTGTGCTTCAATTTCCCCTCTGATATGTGGGACAAATATTTCAACTTCATTGGATTGTTGGGATGATTCAGTGATAAAACAGCATCAAGCTTCTTGCTACACACAATGAATGGCACACCTGGGTTCTTAATTCCTCAAGACTAACTGGTTCATAAATATACACACGGAAGCAGCAGCATAGCACAGTGGCTGGGACCACAAGTTATGGAGTCAAATTACCTAATATAAAAATTCTGATTTTTGCTGGCATGGTGGCTCATATCTATAATCCCAGCACTTTGGGAGGCTGAGGTAGGTGGCTTGCTTGAGCATGGGAGTTTGAGACCAGCCCGGGCAGCATAGCAAGATCCTGGCTCTATTAAATTTTAAAAACAATTCTGGTTTTGTTCCCACTGGCTGTGTCTCCTGAGCAATTTTCTTTTATTTCTTTGAGACCAAGTCACTCTGTCACCCAGGCTGGAATGTAGTAGCATGATCTCGGCTCACTGCAACCTTCACCACCTGAGTTTAAGCGATTCTCCTGCCTCAGCCTCCTGAGCAGCTGGGATTACAGGAGTGAGCCATCACATCCGGCTAATTTTTGTATTTTTAGTAGAGGTGGGGTTTCACCACGTTGGCCAGGCTGGTCTTGAACTCCTGACCCCAGGTGACATTGGAGAATCAAAACAAGATACTGGGTACGAACTCTTGTTCCACCATGTCATAGCAGATGATCCTGGGTGAGTCATTAACCCTCCCAAAGTCTCAGTTTCTCATCGGTCACCTGAAGACCATGGTCCTGCTTATCTTCAACTGAAAATGCAGTGAGGCATGAGGGAGCTCCTGTGCAAAGCTTTCATCTCAGCTCCAGCAGGCAGCAAGGGCTGGTTCCGGAATGGTTAACCAGGGGGATTTGTAGACAGAAAGCCTATTTCCTAGAGTTCTCTCTTCTCCAGTTTCTTCCCCTGTTGTTCAGCTATGACACTTGGAAAACTTCTCACTGTCCTGTTTGCTGGTTCCCAGGCATACTCCAGCTGATTTGTTTCCCTGCAAAAGGAACTACCCCAGCCTGGATGGGGGGGCACCTCTCAGTGCTGGACATCACCTTCCTGTGAATGTAGCCTTGTTTAATTCACTAATCAACACATCTGGCAATCACCCTAGAAAGCTCAGTGCCCTCCTGTTCCATGTTTCAAGTCTTTCTGGGAGGGGAGGAGGAATACTCAGATTTACACCTCTGTTACTTACATATCATATCTCTCAATACAAAGCCATCCTCTTGTGGCACAGGTGGATGCCCAGTGTATTAGTCTGTTTTCATGCTGCTCATAAAGACATACCCGAGACTGGGCAATTTATAAAGAAAAAGAGGTTTAATGGACTCACAGTTCCACATGGCTGGGGAGGCCTCACAATCATGGTGGAAGGCAAAAGTCACGTCTTACATGGCAGCAGACAAGAGAGAAGAGAATGAAAGCCAAATGAAAGGGATTTCCCCTTAAAAAAACGTCAGATCTTGTGAGACTTATTCACTACCACGAGAACACTATAAGGGAAACCACCCCCATGATTCAGTTATCTCTCAGTGTGTCCCTCCCATAACATGTAGGAATTATGGGAACTGTAATTCAAGATGAGATTTGGGTGGGGACACAGCCAGATCACGTCACCCAGGCTGTATTTGTCCGACCTATCAATAATAATTTAATTGTACACTTAAAAATAACTAAAAGAATATAACTGGATGTTTTGTAACACAAAGGATAAATACTTGAGGGGATGGGTTTCCCATTATATGATTATCATGCATTATGTGCCTGTACCAAAAATATCTCATATACCCCATAAACATATACATCCGCTGTGTTTCCACAAAAATAAAAAAAATATACAAAAAAAAAAAAAGATCTAGGTGTCTGGATCCACCTTCTAGGGTAGGTTTGCATGGATCCAAGGGATGAAGGTCGAACCTGGCTGATTCATGGTATATCAGACACATGACATCCTTCTTCTATGTCCATGTCCCCAACTGTAGCTCTGCCAGGGAGTTCCAGGAAACCAGGATGGAGGGTTTTGTGCTAAGATCTGTCTTTTATCCATTTAAATTACAATACTGGAATAATTGTGTTTGTGTACAAACGGTCATAAGTGTACTTAAATGGTACCTTTGCCATGTGCTAAAGTTACTTTTCATTATGACCTATTTGTACAGCATTTGAACCAAATATCTGAGCTCAAAAATGTAAACGTGTTTTTAGTTTTGCTCTGCAGGTTAGGTCAGCAGACGTCTGAAATAAATATGATTGCAAGGGTGAAGGTGACATGATTGACTTAAATCAAGCAATTTCTCCATCAAAGCATTGAAGCCTCAACTCATAAAGACACTCTTTACCAGATGAACTGTAAGGTTGTCCAGCATTTGTCATATTAGGCAATTTGAAAGGAAAGAAAATTATAAAAATGAATGTAATTCTTGGTTGAAGAAAAAAAAAATCCAGTTTTTGCAGCAGGGGGGTGGTTAACTTTCCACAGATTAAAAACAGGTTTCACAGCAATTCTGCTGCTATAACATTCTACAATTAAAACATAAGAAGAAACAGCTCTGGTGCCAAAGAAGACAGTTGTGGGAATTAGTTTGTTTGGGGACAGGGAGGCAGGTTCCCCCTGCAGCATCAAAGGTTATTTTCTTTCCCCTAGGAACAGCACTGTTGCCATAAACGGTGCTGGTTTGCTTCCAACCCCCTTTTCTGAGCTGCTTTCAATTAGCAGGGATTATTAAACTGGAAACATTTTAAACTGCTGCCGAAGCGGCTTTCCGGCCTTATGAGCTGAGGCCTTATGAGCGGAGCTAGAGGCATCACAATAAAAGCTGATTGATTAGGGAGGAAGGCACTGATAGCAACTGATGCCCAGTGTCATGTTCTATGTGTTTCACAGCCTTCTCTTTCCCCACCAAACTGTGCGTCTTCGTAGGGAGTTTGACTTTGGCTTCTCTCTCTGGCGCCTTCTGCAGCCTGGAGGCCCTCAACTTCCATTTCAACTACCTGACCTGGGCCAGCCATATCTCCATGCCCCATCTCCCACCTGGACCCATAGCTAGGGTGGGCAGATCCCAGAGGCAAGGCTCTTGGATTTCTGCGTGACTGGCCTTTTTCTCTTTGCAGTTGGATTGTCGGGATATCAGACTAACAGCGACGATAACACGTCTCTGCAAAATATAGGCCACAGAGCGTTGGTGGAGGTAGAGGTGGGGGCAGGTGTCTGTGTCTTGTTGGAGGGTTTCAAAAATGGAAGGCATTTCCCTAAAGTTTGATCGTCAATGACCTTGTCTTCTAGTGATCTTTCTTAAAGTTTCTTGTATGCATACCTGATTTCTTCAACTAAATTAATTAATTTATTTGATAACACATAGTACTTGGTTAGCATTGTGCTAAATTTTTAAAGGTATTTACTTTTCATGTTTAATTCTAGCAACAAATCCCTGATTTGTTGGTAGAATAGGTAGAGTTAACAGCCCGATTTTACAGATGAGTAAACTGAGGCCTGTGGGTGGAAAGGCTGACTTCAAAATGAGGGAGAACGCTTTACCACTGTATTGCTTCTTGCATTAAACCTGTTCCTGCTCTGAGTGAGGCAGGTGAAACAGATCCTCTATTCCTCCCCAGGTCATTCACTACTTTAAAAAAAAAAATCATGGATTCTTTTAATACATGCTGGTTGTGTGTGTCCAAGCTCTGAAGATGGTGGTGGACTAGTCAGACCAGCTGCCTCCTCTTGTTGGGACAGGGCTCATGCCCCAGCCTCTATTTCTGATCAGTTTGCAAGGAGAATGCATATACCCACATTGCCACTTACCACGAGGAAGCTCGGCTTCTCAGCGTTGCCTAATTGCTTGAGTTGTAAAGGTTCAGCAACCCAGCTTGTGTTGGGTGGACTGGAAAAAGGAGACGGGGTCTACTTTTTGGTTACGCAGTGGGCTGCCTTCAAACCGCCTCCCCCCCACCCCCTGTTTTCTGGCAGAAAGGGGCTGGAGTGAGGTGCGGGGTGGGTGTTGGGGAGTGGCAGAAAGCGGTTTCCCTAGGGGCGGGGCCCGGGGTGAGGCCGACCACAGTTATTCCAGGATTATGACTCAAAGAACACCAACAAGAAGCATTTATTACCTCCGAAGTAGTGCTGGCTGTGTAGTGCTGAATGGAGAGGTGAGGTATTGCAGCTGTTATCTTTTGAACTAACTGCTATTGCGTGTCCCATGACCAGCCGTGGCAGGGTTTTTGTTCCCATGAATGAATGGGCTATAAATCTGTCGGAGCTGACAGTAGCAGCGGTACTAGAGGGTGTAAAGAGAAAATGTGCAGAAGAATCTTGTGGTCTTTGCTTGCCTGGAAAATGAGTTCAATAAAATGGAGGTGATCAGCGCTTATTTATAGGGCAAACTGATACATCCAGCATTGGTCGTCAGAGCCTAACTTAGTGTTTTCTCATTTACAGTCACTCTGTTGTGAAGCACATCTGTGCACCGAGGGCACTCGTGGAGCTTCCAGCAATTGCAGCGGTGGAAGAAGTAGAGGAGACACTTGCAGATAAAGGGATGTTTTCCTCTCTGTTTCTAAGCTTCAGGAGCCTTCAGAGGTAGCTGTCTGTAGAGCTGTAGTTTGAGGTTTGTAACAGGCAGGAACACTCGAGGCCGAAAACAGTTCCTTATTTACATTTCAGTTTTGAGGGTGAATGGCAGGAAATGGGATGAAATTAATCGCCATTTTTCAGGCCCCCGAAACAATAAATTCCAGCAGCCATAAATTTGGAGCTGGGTTAAGTACTGAAAACAATTTATTGCTAATTTTTCCCTTAATTGCATTCCCAAGAAGAAGGGTTTGGTGCTTACTGGTGGCATTATTATATAAAAATTATTCGTTAGAAAGCACAGTGAACAGTAAATCAGAAGCTTACCTGAAACAGGGTCAGGGTTCCTCACAATTCATCCTCGCCCTCACCCAGCCTGTCTCCAGCAAGGTCTTCAGGAAAGAAAAGGATCAGGGAAAATGCTCCCGCTGTCCCCTCGCCCCTCCTCCGTGACACTGTGCGCAGATTAGGTGTTGATTCAATACGATGCTTCGCCTTCTAAAAGTGATAGTGTGAATCACGTGTGGAAGCAGAGGGGACATAATGGAACATCACTGCACGGCATCCCTGCCTCATTTAATTTGTTTTGAGGCTGCTAGCCGTGTCAGGCTAACTGCACTTGAGGCCAGTCAACAGCCTGACCCTGTTGGTGGAGAAAGTTGAAAGACAGTGGCATGGTGTCAGAAGCTGCTGGGATGAAGTAAACATCCGTTCCCATCTCCCCTTGGGAAAGCCATGTTCCAGGGTGAGCCTCCTCTGCAAAAAAAGGACTTGTTGGGACTGGAGGTCTGAGAGCTGGGGCTGGCCTTGGGGAAGAGAATCACTGCAAGTCATTTTACACTATGTGGGAGACTTGCTGTCCTTTGGTTGTTTGATGGGCAGACTTTGCTCAGATGGGGATGGTGAGATGTCATCTTCCTGCAAATGCCATCTGTGTTCCTTCAGGTATACAGCAGGCCATCGGTGGGAACTCACCTGCTTAGATCAGTCTCCTTGGCATTTTACAGGCAAAGAGAGAGTGATGGATTTGCCATTCCAAACCAGCCGTAGGTGGAGCCTGTGCCCATCGGAGAGCTCCTGGAGGTTGAAACTGCAATTCTGACGGCCATTTGGGGAAGAGCCAATGGGTGCCAAGTGTTTATGACGTGACAAGTACATCTGCATCACGGATGGTGAGGTCAGTGGGAGTGGTTAGATGGAAGCTCTTCTGTCCCTTCCATAATGGCATCTGTCATCTCAGGCTGGCAATGGCTATGATGGTGGGAGGACCCCTCCCCCGCTGCTTGGGGCATGCTCCCACTGCTGGCCAGGGTGGGAGAATGGCAGGAAGACTGTGAGGGAGGGACAGGGCATTGGGGGCACTGACAGTCTTCCCAGGAAACGGAGAAGATGGGGAAAGTACACACTTCAGGACCAAACAAAATGGCACATTCACAGGGTCCTTCCTCCCTCCTCCCTCCTCCTTTCTCCCTCCTCCTCCTCATCTGCCTTCCTCTTCCTCCTCCCCCATCCTCCTCCCCTCCTCCTCCTCCTCCTCCTCCTCCTCTTCTTCTTCTTCTTCCTCTTCTTCTTTTTCCTCTGTTTTGACAGAGTCTCACTCTGTCTCCCAGGCTGGAGTGCAGTGGCATGATCTCAGCTCACTGCAACTTCCACCTCCTGGGTTCAAGTGGTTCTCCTGCCTTTACCTCCCGAGTAGCTGGGATTACAGGTGCCTGCCACCACACCTGGCTAATTTTTGTATTTTTAATAGAGATGAGGTTTCACCATGTTGGCCAGGCTGGTCTTGAACTCTCGACCTCAGGTGATCCACCTGCCTTGGCCTCCCAAAGTGCTGCGATTACAGTTGTGAGTCACCATGCCTGGCCTGAAAATCCTCATCTTCCTTTTTAGGCCAGCCAAGGCAGAGGCTCACAGATGGAACTGCAGGCCACAGCATCACCCCATCTCTCAATCTTATGACAGCTGACTATCAAGAAATTTCTGTAAAAAGAAATCATTAAATAAAAAAGATACCTGCACTTTTATGTTTATTGTAGTACTATTTAACCCAGTGTTCATCAACAAATGGGCAGAAAAAGTATGGTACATATACACAATGGAATGCTATTAAGCCATAAAAAAGAAACTAAAATCATTTCTTTTGCAGCAATATGGATGGGACTGGAGGTCATTACCTTAAGTGAAACAAGCCAGAAACAAAAAAACAAATATTGCATGTTCTCACTGGTATGTGGGAGCTAAATAACGTGTACATGTGGATGCACAGTGTGGAATGGTAGACAATGGAGACTCAGAAGTGGGCAGGGTGGAAGGAGGTGGATGATGAGAAATTACTCATTGAGTATTATGCGTGTTATTTAGGTGATGGATCCTCTAAAGCCCCGACTTCACCACTGCACAATCTATGCATGTAACATGATTGTACGTGCACCCCATACATTTATACAAAGATTATCATAAAAAATAAAGCTGGATATATAACCCCCCAAAAAGAAATTCCTGTAAATGAAATGTGCGCCCAAGCTGAGTCTACAGCTTTCTTTTTTTTTTTTTTTTTTTTTTTTTTGAGACGGAATCTCGCTCTGTCGCCCAGGCTGGAGTGCAGTGCACATCTCGCTCCTCAAGCTCCGCCTCCCGGGTTCACGCATCTCCTCCTCAGCCTCCCGAGTAGCTGGACTTCAGCGCCCACCGCGCCCCTAATTTTTTGTATTTTTAGTAGAGACGGGTTTCACGTGTCTCAATCTCCTGACTTGTGATCCGCCGCCTCGGCTCCCAAAGTGTGGATTACAGGTGAGCACCGCCCCGCTGATTCTACACTTTTTTTTTTTTTTTTTTTTTTTTTTTTTTTTTTTTGAACGGAGTCTCGCCTGCCACCCAGGCTGGAGTGCAGTGCCGATCTCGCTCACTGCAAGCTCCGCCTCCCGGGTTCACGCCATTCTCCTGCCTCAGCCTCCAAGACTGGGACACAGGCCCCGCACCTCCCGGCTAGTTTTTGTATTTTTTAGTAGAGACGGGGTTCACGTGTCAGCCAGGATGATCGATCTCCTGACTCGTGATCCGCCCGTCTCGGCCTCCCAAAGTGCTGGGATTACAGGCTTGAGCCACCGCCCCCGGCCTCTACAGCTTTCTATCATGACCAAGGAGAATTTCTCACACCTCTTACTTCCTCTTTCTTCCTTTCCCTATTCCTGCCCTCTAACTCCTCAGAAACAAGACACCTTCTCTGGGGTTTGTTGGTATGAGCTAAGTGGCCAGAGTGTGGGCAACTGAGGGCAAACATCAAAAATAAGGAACTGAACTAAAAAGATGAACCTATTCATGTACGTACATGGCAGTGCTATTCACAATAGCAGCTACGTGGAACCGGCCCAGGTGCTCACCCGCAGTGGATTGGATAAAGAAAATGTGGCACATTTACACCATGAAATACTACATAGCCACAAAAAAGAATGAAATCCTGTCCTTTGCAGCAACATGGATGCAGGTGGAGGCCATTATTCTAGGTAAATTAACACAGAAACAGAAAAGCAAATGTCACATGTTCTCACTTATAAGTGGGAGCTGAACATTGGGTACTCATGGGCACAAAGATGGAAAACAGACTACTGAGGATTACTAGAGGGGAAGGAGGCAGTAAAGGCTGAAAAACTACCTATTCGGTACTATGCTCACTATCTGGGTGGCAGAATCACTTGTACCCCAATCCTCAGTATCACACAATATACCCATGTAACAAATCTGCACATGTACCCCTTGAATCTAAAGAACAAGAAGAAGTGCTGAGCCCGTAGACCTTGGGTGAGGAGCAAGGGGGGAGAGGCCTTGATTCCTGGCCTTCAGGAGGCTGAGCCAGAAGCAGAAGCCAGAACAAGTTCTTGCAGAGCTGGGGGTCGCGTGCAGTTTGCGGTAAGTCATTCTGACAGCAAGAGCTGTGGGGGTTCAGAGCCTGTAAAGAACAAAAGCAAAACATTGCTTTTTGAATACAGGAGTAATACAAATTTATTTTTGAACATTCAGAAATACAGGGAAGTTTCAAGCAGAAAATAAAAACTGCCTGTAATCCCGCTATCCAGAGATAAACCTTGTTAAATTTTTTATGCATTTCTTTACAGGCCTGTGGGCATTTAGATGTCTTATTATTTTTTCAAAATTGGGATTCAACTATACATATAGTTTTTATATCCTGTCCTTTTTTCCCTCCCGCTTAACATATTGTAAACATTTTCTATGTCCTTGATGGTTTTCAGACTTTTTTTGGTTCGATTTTAAGAATTCACAGAGTTGCATTTTATAGATGTGTTAAATAAAAGTTACAGGAGGCTATTGTTTTCTACTAAGCTTCTGCACTAGGCTTCCACAGAGCAGACTGAAAATCAAAATGGAGTTCCCCATGCTAACATGCTGTTACTGAAACACCAGGGGTTCTGTCTAGGCCCTGCTTCTCACCACATAGAAAGCCAATTACTGAGAAAACAATTATTGCCAAGGGAGAAGGCTTTAATCGGGTGTCGCAGCCGTGGAGATGGGAGGTCAGTCTCCAATTCCTCTCCCTGGCTGTCTAAAATTAGGGACTTATATAGCAGGGAAGAAATGTAACATGTGTTGGAAAACAGGAACCAGGGAATGGTGAGGAAGCAATCATGATGAGTGAGGGGTCTGGCATCTCCTTGTCTGGATGTGGTGATCTGGTGAGTTTCAATTCTTTCCTACTTTTTGAGGGGTCTGGGAGTATTTTCCTGAGGAAGGAATTCAGATAAAACAAATGACCAGAAATACCATTTGACCCAGAAATCCCATGACTGGGTATAAACTCAAAGGAATATAAATCATTATTTTACAAAGACACATGCACACGTATGTTCATTGCAGCACTATTCACAATAGCAAAGGCATGGAACCGACCCAAATGCCCATCAGTGATAGACTGGATAAAGAAAATATGGTACATACACACCATGGAATACTATGCAGCCATAAAAAGGAATGAGAACATGTCCTTTGCGGGGACATGGATGAAGATGGAAGCCTTTATCCTCAGCTAACTACAACAGGAACAGAAAACAAAACTCCGCATGTTCTCACCTATAAGAGGGAGCTCAACAATGAGAAAATATGGACACAGGGAGGGGAAAAGCACACCCAGGACCTGTTGGGGGGGCGAGGGGAGGGAGAGCATGAGGACAAATACCTAATGCACGTGGGGTTTAATACCTAGATGACAGGTTGATAGGTGCCGCAAACCACCATGGCACACATTTACTTATGTCACAAACCTGCACGTTCTGCACATGTATCCTGGAACATAAAGTAAGATAAAATTTAAAAAACAAAACAAAACAAAAAACAAATGCAAGTTGCAGGCTTTGAGAGCAGAAGAGTTAGTATCTATGTTTATCTGAAAGCACTGTCTAAGGAAGTGTTGGATCTGTTTCAGTTTCCCAGTCACCAAAAGTAAACTCAGTTGTTATCTGACCTCAGAAATCGGGAGAGAGATAACAGCCACTTTCCCAAACAGGTCTGTTTCAATCCTCAATCCGCATGATAATGAAGTTCCCTCTGCTTTAATCCTCACACAAAAAAGGAAGCCTGCAGTAACCCGATATTAATGAATCAGTTATTTTTCTATTGTTCTGTCTAAAAGTAACGAATCCTCTCTTTGTTCTTTGTTTCTGCTTTCTTCAGCCTTCTCTGTTAATAAAGCAAATTCTGCAGGGCTCACTGGATCACTCATTCTGTGTTTTGGAAAAAGGTGTTGCCTGATTCTAGAATTGCAAATAAAGCCAATTGAGCGCTTTAAACTCATTTGTTGTGCTGTTGTCTCTTGAATACCCCGGGGGTTACGGATGCCCACTCTTCTCCACCCACCCATTACGCGTTTGAAACTCTACATACAATTTTGACTTCCCCAAAACTTAGCTGCTAGTACTTACTGCTGACTGGACTCCTTCCAATAACATAAACAGTCACTTAATACATATTTTTAATGTTACATGTATTACATGCTGTATGCTTACAATAAAGTAAGCTAGAGCAAAAATGTTATTTGAAAAGTCATAAGGAAAAGAAAATGCATTTGCTGTTCAGTAAGTGGAAATGGTTTATCACAAAGGTTTTCATCCCCATCATCTTTCCATTGAGTAGGCTGAGGAGGAGGAGGAAGAGGAGGGGTTGGCCTTGCTGTCTTGGATGGCGAGGTGGAAGAAAATCTGAATGTAAGCGGACCCAAGAAATTCAAACCCATGTTGTTCAAGGGTCAATTGCAGTTTTGTCTTTTGACAGACGCATCATATTGTTTGACCATTTCCTTTATGGCAAACATGAAGTTGCTTCTGATTTTTTCACATTACCAGTGAAGTTGTGGCCAGTGTTTTTTTACCATGGATGACTGGGTGCCCTCTGGATATTTCTTTATGGTGAAGTCCTAGAAGAGAAAGTCCTAGGGAGTGAGGCCCCTTTATTTCGAAATATTTGTCCCCCAAGTAAGGTTGGCTCTGTGAGCTTTGTGGGAGAGTGACAGCCTAGATTTCCAAATAAGAGATAGCCTCTGCAAAGCTGTTTGTTTGATAGATCAAAATATTTAAAATGGGAATTTCTTTTATGGTGGAGGTTGAATACATTTCCATATGTCTCTTGTGTATGTGTATTTCTTTTCTCGTGCATTGTTTATTTGCCCACTTTTCTCTTGAGGATAAAGTCTTTGAAAGTGCTCTTCACAGCAGAAAGATATCAACTGTTCAACGACTTGTCCCTCTTTGGATGGGGTTGAAAAAGGAGATATGGGGGGCTGGAGTTTGAACTAGGCCTTGAGTAGTTGTGAGCAGGATTTTGATAGCTGGATCCTAGGTCAGTCCAAAAGGCATCTTCTTAGGTGAGCCATGAACAAGAATACACTGAGGAAAACCATAGCCTTACTTTGTACATTTAAAAAAGGAAGTCGAGTGAACAAGGGCAAATTATTTTTGGTCTTGGTCTCTGCCGAAACTAACATGCAAGGAGCCATAAATATTTACTTATCT